AAACATATCTTAGTGGTCTGGTTTGAAGGACCTGGTTAATTCAAACGAACAAACAGGCTTGGGCTTGGACCCTCACATCCTTCTTGTTCATATAAACAGTACCTACATGCATGCTGTAAAATTCTGGAGAGAAGCCATGATGCAAAGAAGTCCATGATGAAATGCATTCAATTCTTAGTATCACTAAGGTAATTAAAATTATAAATTTCATTTAAAACTTGACCATTTTTCTTGGTGAAGTGCATCAGTGACTTCCGTGGATAATTTCTGCTAGAAAAATTAATATGATTAAGCTATCAGTTTCCAAAAAGTGGCCCCAAAATGTAAATCTCATCAGAAACTGATTCCCTAGGAGTCTTGATCAGGGTAATGCATAATTCTACATTAAACCCTACGATGCTTATCATTAAAATGCCGTACTCCTTTAACGGGGTTTAAACGTGTCTAAACTGGGAGCACTGAAGAGCTCTAGCTATATACTGGCATTCCCTATTCCTCCAGAACTGGCTTTTAAGTGTCACTTCATAGTCAAACACAAAGTTGGTCCTTATACACCAATATTCCCAGTCATATTTTATTCATGCCAAACTTACCTTATCCCAAATTTCTAAACACTCTTAATAGGCCATTTGCTGTCTTTTTTGACCTCAGCTTTCTCTTTCAGATGCTCAGTGCTGGGACATCGCAGTGCACTGGTGTTCTCGTTATGCCAAGCTGTAGTGCAGGGATAAAAAGTTTCACATTAGGATGTTGCTGTTATGCATTTGTTCGCTACCATGATACACTTTGCTGCTATTAGACTCCAGACAGCAACTGTACCTGCTTTCAGGCATGTGTATGTCCATGCCACTTCTGTCATCTCCCCTAGTCCTGTCCCACCACTTGATAGGATGTGCCCGTTCCTTAGACCAATGTGCTTGGGGCCTGCAGGACAGATGAAAGAGGCTCGGGTGATCGCTGTTAATACAAGGGAAAAGGGAGAGGCATTAGAAAAATTACATAAGGTTACAGTAACAAAGCTAAAGAGGAGAAAGGGATAGCTCAAAAGGGGCAAGATAAGAGCAGGAAACAGCAGATTGACTATCTGGCATAATCGCTGCCTGGTATTTGAGGTAGATCAATCCAGAATCCAGGACATGAAGTTTTCTCTCAAAAATGGAAGAAAACATTGAAAATAAATCAATTTTTAGGAAAATACGAAAGTCAATGTTTTGACAGCGTGGGCACTTTAGGAGGGTCATCTGACACAGCGTAGGCCTTGAAAAAAATCCTTTTCTCCTCATTATCACCCCGCAGGAATTTTCTCTTGCTTCCATCCCACAGCTCCTCTGCCATCCTCCCACCCCTGCCTGTCTACAGTAAGATTTATGCAATGAGCCCCTCCGTGCTTCATTCTAAGGCACATTGTTCTTTCTTCTACTTTAACAAGATAACCCAAAGATTTGTAGATTTTAAATAGAGTTCAAATGATTCAGAAGAAAGAAAATCCACTGCAATTTCTTGGTTGCAAGAGCCGCAGAAAGAAGGTGGCCCTGGGTTTTCAGGCTACTTTTGTTTAACTCCAAAATCTTGTACTTCTGTATAACTCCGCTATGAAGAGCCTGCACCAGCTCAGCAGGCGAGGGTGAGGCGCAGCCGGCAGACAAGGTCACTCTGGCAGCAGGGAACGTGCTTTATATGCTGAGCAGCGCCGGGCTGGAGCAAGGCAGACAACAAGGACTTGACGCATTTGAAGTGCTGCTCAAAGTTGAGTCAAGGATTCTCCTTGTGGAGGTGCATGACAGCTGCAATCACCTTTCTATTTCATGTCAGCAGTGATTTCCAACTCCAGGTTCTTGCAATTCTTCATGTAATTCTCCCTGTAATTTATTCAGCTCATAGTGATTCATTACACAAAAAAAACCTCTCCAATGAAGCACTAAGGTTATAGAACTAAGATGCACTCTTGCTTTACTGAAACCAATGGGATTTTTGATGCTGGCCTCCAGGAAGCCCTTGCCTGCTAAAATACTCCAGAATTAGAGGTCTCAGTTCTGCCTGCATTTTCCTCTGTTTAAATCCAAACTGACATTTTGCTTTAACAAACTTCAGATTTCTTCTTAATCAACCAGCTCCTGTGTTTCTGAGGCAGACATGACGACAAATGTAAACTGAATCCCATGTTTAGCACTGTGGCCAGTGAAAAGTAAAAACTGTAAAAGCAAAATTAAAAAAATGTTCAGATTACCCTGGTGGGCAGGTGAATTGTTGAAGGTTCTTGTAAACATTTAGTAAGATCAGTTATGTAAATGCCTTTTTTTCTTCAATCTTTTTAAATCGCATCTTTCCACAGAGGTGCTATCTCCTACAGCTCATTCTGGAATTATATTTTAAAAATCCTTGTCCAACATTGGTAAAGATGCAAATCAAAGCATTTCAGATTGTATGTGCACTCAAATAGCCTTTCAGTTACTGGCTATATTTTATTTCTTTCAGAATGCAGATAAGCGCTGTTGCTCATTGTATGTTTAGATCATTTTATAGGATAGTTCAGGACAAACATGTACTTAGTTGTCTTCAAAGCAGTATTGCTCCTGCCAGAATAAACTTCTTCCACCTGACCAAAGGAAATGCACTGAATGTGCGGTTTTGTAGGGAGAATTAAGGAACGCCTGAGATTCACCTCTGTTTTACATAGCCAGTCACTTCGATGCGTGTTCCCTGTGTCAGATGATCATCCTCTTGCAGTCTTCCCCTTGACCCCAGAGCAGCCCATGAGCTTGCAGACAACTCACTCTCCATCTACCAAACTGGGAACTGTGTGTTAATTTTCCTTCTGTACGTGTTAAACAGAGATTTAAATATTTAGGACTGGATTTTTCTGAAGCACTAAAGTAAAGCATCTTCAGTGACTTGAAATTGAGCCATGATTCAACACATTTGAAAAATCTGGCCTGGAGTTTATTCTGCAAAATGACTGGAATTATTCTTTAAACCATCTACTTGTCAGAGGTGACACGTATCATATACTATTTCATCAGTATATATGTTTTCAGTCAAATAAAAAATGAAAATATTAATTCCAGAGATAGAAGATCATAAGAGATGGCTTTCTAAGCCTCCTTAAAAAATGAAGTGGACTAGTTGTATACACGAAGTCAATCTGCTTTGAAAGCATCAGGCTAGGGCTTTTTTTTTTTTTTTTTTTGAGCTTCTAAATAAAATCTTTTTTAAGACTTCTCAAATCCCTGGATAGTTGTTAAAGAATTGAATCTTAAATTCTGTCAGAGTACCTTAAGACAGAAAGCAAAAATTAAAATATTCTGTGTAATACCACCCTTGAGAGAAATTGTTCAATTAAGCATGATGTTCTACTAGCAATGTCTTAGTTTATATGGAAAATAAGTCTCAACTTAGCAATTGGTAAAAAGTGGAAAGCTATGGCAAGGCATTGTATTCATTTGCAATAGCAGTTGTATAAACCTGTTTACACATTAAGGAATGCATAAGGATACACTGGGCTGTTTCAGAAAACAGATGCTTACGAGAAAAGAGGAAGAAGTACTAGAATCCACCTCTGTACCTGAAAAGTTTTCCATTTCATTTCAAATTCTGCTTGGAGAGGACTGAATTTTGAAGCTGTTCCAAGTTTCCAATCCTTTACAGTGGAGCATATTGCTCACAAGAAGGTAGTAAAAGAAAGAAGGAATGATTGCGCCATTTTACTAAAAGAGTAATTTTAACAATATCTTTGTTGGTGACGCCTAAGTGATGGTAAGCCCAGGGCTCATCACAATCCTAGGCCATGGGCCCAGGATCTCTCCACCTATCTAAAAAAAGCTGCACCAGGCAACCAAAGAATATTGTGCATGAGCAAATTTCCTCCTTTTGTCAAAGGAGGAAGAAAGGAAAAAATAAAATAAAAAGCAGGGAACCTGCAAAAGCAATCATACTCCCCAAATTTGTCTTTTTTTTTCCCAGCTGCAACAATGTTTTACCTTTCCTGACAAACTGTGACTCACTTAGCTAAGAGCTTTCCAAAGCCCCGACAAGTACATGCAGCTCCATCCCCAGTGCCTTGGCCCCGAACATGTCACATTCTGCCTTTGGCAGCCGCCTTGACAGTGAAGAGCAGCAGGAGTTCAAGCTGCTCTCCCCTGAATTCTGCTGCATTGGCTGATTCCTGTCCCTGTGCAGGTAGGAAGCCTGCTGCTCTACCAAGCTGCTCTCTCCATATTGCATCTTAGAACCTGTTCCATAGCATCTCTAATTACTGCAATGGGAATATCTTCCCAATTCCTGTTTACTCAGTTTGTGCGAAGGCATTTCTAGGGAAGGACTGTGTTCTTGCTTTTCTTCCTACCTTTCATATAATCTATTCTATGCTGCTTTTCTAAAGAGCTGCTTTTTAGTCAGTAGAATTGTGACTTTTTTTGTTCTTCCAATTATAAAACCCTACATTTGATTTAAACTTGATAATTACACTGTGATATAGCAAAAGCCTTAACCATGTGACACCCATCCCCACTCCTGCATTGAAGGCAGGAACTGTGAGGCATTTGGGGGCTTTCAAAATTTGTGCCTTACTTGTGTCCAACACTGAGACACACACAGGGAGGTGGAGACATTGATAAGTAGCTAATTCATGTTGGAATTTCCCACTCTCCATGTACCAGTAACTTTCTGCCCTTCCTTTCCCCACCCCCAGCACCAAGTCCTTGGTTCTCACAGAGCCTCTGTGACTTCGAGAACAAAAACACAACTATGCCATGGATTACCCTGATGATATTGATAAGCTGACACCATGAGGGAACTGCTCTTGAATTCACGTGCCTTATTTTCTAACACTTTGTTCTTAGCTGCCCGGAGCAGAGGGTTTTACAGAGATACGAATAGCAAATCAAACAATAGGAGAACCTGATTACGGGGGAAAAATAAAAGGCTTAAAAGTGACCTAAAGCAGTGTTTTATAAGCCATTTATCCAGTCCAAAGGAAAAAGTATTTGTTTATCTTTCCTCAGGGCTTCACAACACCCAGCTCTAAGTGTTACTAACACACAGAGGAACAGGAGAGACCATAATGCTCAGAAAATACCCCCATTCACTACGTCAAGCTCTTCCAGCAACACATCAAAAAGCTCTTCACTTTCATCAAAACCAGCCAGCCAGATCTCGACGGTTCAGGATCAAGCCCTGCTGGACATTGTCTCCGTCACTAGATTGGCCCTGGGAGAATCACCAAATCCTCAACCATTGGAGCAAAGAAATAAAATGTTAGTACCATTGGGTTCCAGTCCACTCAGTGCAAGAACAACTCCAGCATCTTGCCCAGCCAGCCCCAGGCTCAGTCTAACACCCAGCTCAGCCAATCCACAGCAATACTCTGACTCCTCTCCAGCCAGTGCAGGGATCAATGCAAGTTCCTTCTATTCCTTCTGTCCTCACACAGCACAAAACTTACAAGCTTCAACATCAGACCACACACTGACCCCAACCAGGAAAAGCACAAGGCCTTCAACAACGAGGACTCCTGAAGATAGTTCCCAGTCTCCTGACTATTTTAATACTGAATTAAAGACTATGGGAAAGTGTTTTGAAACAGGCCTGGAAGATCCTGATCATGAAAGGTATGTATCAAGATCATACTCATGTTTAAGTTACCACATAATTCAACTTGGTAGAGTCATCTGACAACTGCTCATCAAATCTTTTGAGTAGATTTACAGATTTATGTGTTCCCAGTGTTTGCTTTCTAGTAATGATTGCATGTTCCCATTAAAACCTGTTCTCTGAGAAGCAAAATACTATACTTTCCATTCATTACTTTGTACATACATACATAACATACATACTTACTTCAGATCTGATTACAGACTATATCTGGGCCAGATTGTCGATCTCAGTTCCTTAAACAAGGCACAGTTTTTAAGGTCATCTCATATCCTTGAAAATGAAAAAATGCACAGCAGGTTTTAAACCTCAAATTCTGGCATGTAGCCCCAGCAAGCTGGACTGATTTTCCTCTAGTGAACCTATGAGTTCCACACTGTATCTACCACTTCTTTTCTTGACAGGAGATTTGTAACTGCAAAGGAATTCCAAGCCATGGAGAAACAACTAGAAGATGTAAGAGAAGAACTGAAATGCTTGAAGTGGAAGGTGAGACACATTGGTGAGACCGTGCAGCCCCTGGCAGAGGATAGCAAGCGTTACAACGGCTACACCCTGACCGAGCTCAAGGCAATGGTGCAGTTTGAAGATGATCCTTACAAAGCTGCACACAAAATCCTAACTGTGCTCTTCAGTGATGTGAACTTGCTACAGCACTCAGTCACCGAACAGGCCTGCAACTCACGGTCTCTGCCCAAGCCCAAATTAGACCCCGAGCTGTACACAGTCTACCGTGACATTCTGAAAAGCATATTCCCTGGAATTAGCAGTCAGACCTTGAGGGAAGAGACACAACACTTTCAGAAAAGGGCCCAGAAAGAAGTACAATAAGGGCAGAGTTCACAAAATCTTCTGGAAAAAAAAAAAATTCTCTGATGACTTCAGAGCACTGAACTGCGTTGTGGCAAGTTAGCTGGGTCTGTCCCTTCCAGGTAAACACACTGGTGAGCTCTGAGCCCTTCATGTCACCCTTACCTGATGAGACAGCGGGAAGATATTCTGCACACTTCCTACGTTTTTGGGGAAAAAAAATAAATAAAAAAAGGTCCCCTTAGTGGCTCTTTTAATATACAGATGCTCCCTTGGTTCCAATAACTACAGTTGCTGCCAAAAGAAGCCAAAGAAGGCATTGTGTATGGAGGCAAGGGCCTTCCCCCTCCCCAAACAGATCTACCAACCAGCATCTGGCTAGTTTCTATTTTCTAGAGTATATCATTCATTAAAAGACATTACTTGTTAGAAAATTTTGCCTGTCTTTTTTTTTCCCCTGCCCCCTAAAAAATGCTTTGCACATCAAATCAATCATAACTGGAACACACAATAGGATGAGACCTGGCTGTGCAGCAAGCCACCCTGCCCTGCCCTCCTGCATTGTGGGAAGAAAAACAGGACACAGACTGGTCAAAAGCAGCAGCGCACTCATACATTCTAGGTAAGTGGGAGGCCAAGGGTGCAAGGGCAAACCATATGCCCTTAAATCAGTTTAGACATGATGAACATAATCCACACAGGTAGAGGTAGGAGTCTGTAACCTTCATCTTTCCCAGCCTCAGGTAGCTGAGCAAACAAAACAGCTTGCGTATAGCGACAACCATGCTCGGTCTTAACATAGAATGGTGCTCTCTGGTGCAAATCTTCCCTGCTCATTGCTGGTTATCTACATCTTTCTCATATAACAATCCAGCATCTGGGAACGTAGGAGAGAAATCCAGGTTCTTGAGTTTTATGTATGTCAGTGCATGTCTGTGTGAGTGATGCGGTTTTAAGGTCAGTAGTACATTTATGAAAAACTACTGCTTGATTGCAATCAAGCGCCTCTACCTTCACAATGCTAACTGTGACAACACTGTCAGTCATTGCTCTACTTGAGCAGCACTGAAAAGGCTGCCTCAGATCTGAGTTACTAAGCTTTGATTGAGGAAGAGAATACACATGCAAGCTCTCTATTCAGAAACCCTTAATACAGCAAACAAGAAATGAGGAGGTTTGGTCTTCTCACTTGTTAGTAGTATTTCTGTGCTCTTCCCTACCTTCTAGCATTTGGCTTCCCAGGCCTCTATTAGAGTCCTATCCCACAAACAACTCCACCACGACACGAGCACTTGCTGTCTTCTTCTGCTCACCTTTATTACCCCTGGCCCCACACACATCTGCTTTGCTGTATAGGGCTCAGAAACCCATCCATCCCCCAGACCATAAACTAAGTTTGAAGTTGTTACCTTTGCCTTAGGACAAGATTATACCAAAACTAGGTCCTTACCTCCACAAGTTAAGAAATCCATCTTCAAGGAGAAAATGTCCCATCTGCAGGATCACCTTCTCTGACTGAACTGCAAAGAGCTAATAGTTCCCATCTGCTGTGGGAACTGCAGGTAGAAGAGCTAATAGTTCCCACCTGTGAAGCTACTGCTGAAGGGGAAGGTACAACAGGGGAATTTCAGACAGGCCACGCTAACAGGGCCTGAGCAGAGGGTCAGAGCCTAAGACTCACCTGCAGGCACAGCTGCACATGAGGGGCTTGTCTTCCTTGTTGCTCATGTGCCACAGCTGAAAGACTGACTCCTTGCAAAGGCCCCTCATTGCTATGGAGTCTACCTGGAGAAAGACAACAGCAGGTAAGGGAGGGAAGAGGGGAAAAGGCTCTGGAGCGCCTCTGTCCCTGGCTGGGATGCAGCAAAAAGCAACAGATGAACTTCTGCTCACAGAGCAGGCACTGTATACATGGCTCCAGGCTACCTCTGGCTTCATTTGACAGAACTGGAGTTGTAGACAGTTTTGTAAAAAATTGGCGAGGTGGAGGGTTGTCCTTGTGCTATTTAGGCGAGCACTGATGGAAGACACTGCTTCCCTGCTCTTCTGGTTCATTCATCCCCTTTCACAGGGTCACTGACACTTCTAGAAGTCACTCCTTGACCCCAACAGGCAGATTACTTGAAAAAACAGAACACATCTCTCCTGCACACTGTTGCAGTTTTCCTTGCTAGGCCACTGAGGCTGGCAGGACAGACAAAAAGCCACCTTTGGGTTCAGCCTGCCCAGCACCACAGGATGTGCCCTGCACATCTTCATAATAGAATGAAAATAATATCTTCTTAATAATAATGGGGAAAAGGAGAAAACTATTGACTTATTATATATGCATATATATATATATATAATTTTTATATACTATAAATATATAAAAATACATGATCTAGGCCTTCATGGACAATCCTGTCAGAGAGATATTGGTCTTTCCAGGGCCCTTTCAGGTTTCAATGTCATCACAGAATCACAGAATGGTTAAGGTTGGAAGGGACCTGTAGAGTCATCCTTCTTCTGGATATGGTTTGGTAAGAATCATACCCACTTAGAGATCTGCAGTGGTTTTTACTCAGGCATTAATAGTTTTTAGCAATTCTAGGAGAGCTTCCCGATTAACCAGATTCAACTACAGCTATCCAGTCTGACCGGATGATCTTGTCTTTCAAGTTTAGCATCCTGTTTTTTTAAGAAATGTGTCCTGTTACAAGCATGCCCTGTCTTAAGACTTTAGGTCTTTCTGCTGGTATTCAGATAGAAAGGCAGTTACCCAGTCCTGATATTCTGACAAACAAAAACATTCAATCATAATTCTTCTTGGACAATTCATTTGCTCTATGCCTGCATTGCTTCTTAGCCTAAATAATCCTTCTCCCAGAATCTTGCCACCTTCACCTATAGAGAGACAGACATAGAAAGCAATCAAACACACAGCAAAAAACATCAGAATAGTCTATAAAACCACAAATGTTGCATTTTATTCTATTCTGCATTTAACTATACATATTTTTTTCTTGAACACCACTTTAAGGCCTGAAGAGCCAATGCTAGAGCAAATAATTATTCTTTCCTTAACTATAGATATTACATTCATTATTCTTCAGTCGTATCCTCCAGTTGGAGAGATTCATTATTACAACATTCATTCAAGCAACATGCACTCTTCTGTATTCACTCTTATATATAACCTGAGGGTGTAAGAGCCACTGCACAGGTTAGACCAAAAGTCTGTCTTCCCCAGTGTCATTTTTTAGGAGCAAATGCCCAGTCAGAAGTGTAAGGATGTGAACACTTTTCGCAGCCTCAGGCAATCTGTAGTTTGTTCTGATTGATTGAGATAATTAAGCAGTCTATTAATGTTCACCATGCTGAGGCTCAGTAGGGTTTAGCTGGCAGAATAGATTCTGCAGCAGATAAGTTATGTTAAACAGAGGGTCCTAATTCATGTTGTTCATAGAACCAAAGAATAATTTACATTGGAAAGGACTTCTTGAGGTCATCTGGTGAAATCCCTTTTACAGATAGTCTTCTAGTGACACAAAATAATTAATAAAATTTGTTGGAAAAACTAGACTATGCAGTACCATAAAAATCTGGAGATCATCCAAACAACCTGCAGTGGAGTTACTTGCAGATCCACTCTAGAAAAACTGTGAGGTTTTCTTCTTCCAGAAGCACTATGTGGGGGATCATCTAGGTATAGGCTAAATATGCTGCAGAAGCTTGATTTAAATCTGTATCATTGGATAAATAAGATAAATGGCATAGTTTCTGTAATGCTATTATGGAGGGTTGTTTATGGTGTGTGTGCTTCGATCTACATACATTGCCAATTCATTTTCAGGCTTTTCATGAATATTTATAATGTGTAATTACAGTCAAAAACAGTCATTTAATCATACATTTTACAACCTTATGGTTACCCCTTCATATTGTCAATAATAATACTCATTCATTAGATGAAAACTTCATGCAAAATAAGTCCACTGGCTCTTTTGGTTTATGACATAAAACTTGACAGTACTACAGTTTTAGGCAACTGTCAATGTTGGTTTTATCTTTATTATCACTAGCAACATCTTTACTGAAATCTCAGTCATAAGGATTTGGGCCTTATCCTAGATTACAATTAATCCCTTCTCTGTTCTTCCTACATGAATGTCTGCTTCTCCACACTTTGTTCTCTATTCATTTATATACCTAATTCCCTTTGCACAGTTCAATTCAACTTGACTTTGATAATTTTTGCACTAAATTTATAATCTTTGACTCCCAAGGTGAAATTCTCCTTGGAGCCCCTTTTCCATTTCTTCTATTTATGTGCACCTACAGGTGATAATTTATTTACCATGATCTGGAAATCCTCCTAGGCATCTCCTCCCCCATGGAGTTTTGACAGGCAAACAAGTATCCAGCAAGTAGAAGAGCTATAGAAAAATGGACAATTGGGAAAGTAAATGAACCTAATAGAGAACACTGGAGAGAACTGCTGGATGTTGCATTTAAATTTGCAGCTCAGTGAGGCAAGCAGGTTTCTCTCCATGGTCCAAACCTCAAATTCCTTCGAAAAGACAACTAGGACAACTACTGCAAGCTTCGTTGTAGCCAGAGCCCTGCTACTAAGGCACCAGTCTCTGCCACAACTGGGCCAGAGGGGGAACTGAAGCTAGTGCTCCCACTTACACCTTGCAGCAAGTGGCAAACAATCCTGCCAAGCTTAGACTTCATTTTATATTCCATTTGGAGTAGACCAGGAAAAAAAAAAAAAGCCTCAACCACTCTCCTCTCATGAGCAAATGACCAAACTGCAGATCTCGCTAGAGTCCTACTGCTAGTCCCACAGGAAAAAGAGAGTGATACTGGGAGATCCTAAAGGACTCCTGATCCGGACACATGAGGACAGAATGTGCACTCATTTACCAAAATACCACACTGACATGCAAACTAGATCTTAGCTTTTTGAGGATTTACTGTGAACAGTACATTTTCTCAGTGCCCCAAAGAGTGTGATTAAAATACATATCAAAGCCTTGCTAGGTCAGTGGGTT